ATTTCTTTCCCATGGGGATGGTCTTGATCCCTGTCTCCTGTACAATGTCATGAACCTCTGTCCATAGTTCATCAGGCTCTCTGTCTATCAGATCTAGCCCCTTAAATCTATTTCTCACTTCCACTGTATAGTCATAAGGGATTTGATTTAGGTCATACCCGAATGGTCTAGTGGTTATCCCTACTTTCTTCAGTTTAAGTCTGAATTTTGAAATAAGGAGTTCATGATCTGAGCCACAGTTAGCTCCCAGTCTTGTTTATGCTGACTGTATAGAGCTTCTCCATCTTTGGCTGCAAAGAGTATAATCAATCTGATTTCGGTGTTGACGATCTGGTAATGTCCATATGTAGAGTCTTCTCTTGTGTTGTTAGAAGAGGGTGTTTGCTATGACCAGTGCGTTCTCTTGGCAAAACTCTATTAGCCTTTGCCCTGCTTCATTCTGTACTCCAAGGCCAAATTTGCCTGTTACTCCAGGTGTTTCTTGACTTCCTTTGGGGGCAGGAGGGTAAGGGGACGACAGAGGATGAGATGGCTAGATGGCATCACCGACTTGATGGACATGAGTTTGAGTGAACTCCGGGAGCTGGGGATGGACAGGGAGGCCTGGTGTGCTGCGATTCATGGGTTCACAAAGAATCGGACATGACTGAGCGACTGAACTAAACTGAATACATAGTATAATAGACTATGTAAAAAAATGATGTGGTTCATTATGGAAATTCAGAGAAATCTTCTTGTTAGAAATCACATCTCAACTGAATCTTGAAGGATAAGACAAATTGATCAGGAGAATGATGGAGAGGGAGGATACCTTGAGTGAATACAAGTTACAGAAGCAGGTCATATACTCAGAAAAAAGGATATTTTGTATAGTGGAGCATAGAGTACAACATGGAAATGATAGGATGTAGCAGCAGAGGTAATAAGAAGAGCACTATATTTCAAGCTAACAACTTAAGACTTTATAGGTAGGCTGTGCAGTGCTTTAAGCAGAGGTGTGATATGATCTAATTTGCATTTTAGATTTTAAATTAGTAGAATGCTTTACAAACAGAATTCAATAAATGCTAATGAGACAAATCAATCTGTGTGATGATACATTGATTCCCAAAATTTAAACTTCATGAGTGTATGTGTGTGTATGTATATGTGTGTGATGAACACAAAACACAATAATACAAGTATTATGCAAAATGAAACATTTAACGTAAACAGGAAAACATGGTTGACATTCAGAAGTATTTCTTATTTCTCTGCCCTTTGTGAAGATCTTCATGGAAATTCTTACTTATCTTAATGAATAAATACTGCACTGGGTTGAATTACATTTCTCCCAAACACATAACCACCAAGAAAGTCAAAATGTGACCTTACTTGGAAATAGGGTCTTTACAGAGGTAATCAGTTCCTTCAAGATGAGGTCATACTGGGCAAGGGTGACTCCAATGACTCATGAACTTGTAAAACAGTCAAGTGAAGACACAGAGATAGAAATACAGAGGGAAGACGGTCATGTGAAGGTACAGAGACAGACACACAGAAGCAAGACAGCCATGTAAATATACGGAGACGTAAACACACAGAGAGAAGATACCCGTGTGAAGGTACAAAGATAGACACACAGAGGCAAGACAACCACGTGAAGGCAGAGGCAGGCATTGGAATGAAGCAGCAACAGGTCACAGAACACCAAGAACTGCTGATAACCACCAGATGCGAGAAAGACTGATGCTTAAGCTGAAGCGCCGATACTTTGGCCACCTGATGGAAAGAGCCAACTCATCAGAAAAGACTCTGATGCTGGGAAAGATTGAAGGCAGAAGAAGAAAGGGACGACAGAGGATGATATGGTTGGATGGCATCACAGACTCAATGGGCATGAGTTTGAGTAAGCTCTGGGAGTTGGTGATAGACATGGAAGCATGGCGTGCAGCAGACCGTGGGGTTGCAAAGAGTTGGGCATGACTGAGTGACTAAACACCACCACCATCAGATGCTAGAGGAGAGGTATGGGTCAGTTACTCCCGCTGAGTCTCCAGATAGAAACAACTATGCTAACACCTTAATTCCAGACATGTCTCCAGAACCATAAGAGAATAAATTTCTGTTGTCCTAAGCTACACAGTTTATAGTATTATTTTATAACAGCCCTTGGAACCTAATACACACACATGGCGGCATCTCCTATCTAGGCTGCAAAGGTGCTAGGGGAGTAGACTGTGGGCCCTAGAAGAGGATATTCCCATTAGCACAGCATGAATAGAACAAAACACTGTCCTCCTACTACTTGTATTTGGCATCTTCTCATAGGCCTGCCTCATAGGTCTGGCACTTATTTTCCACCTGGATTTGCATTGGGAAATATTTACAGGCTTGATTAGTTATTCATCCAAACTGAATGCACATATAAAAATTACTTTGGTTTGTGTGCCCCTGAATTGCCAAGGTGCTACCTTACTTTTACGGAGACTCTGGTTAAAAGCTAATTCAGTATTTGCTATAAAAAAACACTCACTACTTTAATCAATACACCATGCAGGGCTTTTGTAAGATGAATGTTTGAGTGTTTCAGCCATAAATGATTTTTAAAAGTTATTAGACTGAGAGCCTCTCCCTTCTGCTTCATGCAGTCCCTTCAGAACAGAGTAAGAAGATTAGCATCAGTGTTTGGGGAGCAAGCTTACTGAGTCAGAAGACATGAGGAATATCATTAAGTTTTTTAAATAACAGCATGCACTTGTTTCAACTAAATTTGAGGGGAAACCAAATGTAGAGGGAGCGGAATGATTTAAAATGAGTCTAAATTCATTGAAGCTGGAATATATATTATCATTAAGACAAGTCAGGAAAACAAAAACAGCAGAGGTCCTAGAGGCTTAAAAGCAGTGGCCTGTAACTAAACTTCCTTCACCTGGAATAGAGTGAACTTCTTGCTTTCAACCTTGAAAAGTGCCTAATTTTTCAGATGACAGAGTGATTGTGGAAAGGCTTCAGAGAAGAAAGTGACAGAACAAGGGGAATTACAGTGGGTATACACTCCCACAGAAGCAGCAATCTATTGATGTTTTTTCTTCTCTAGTTCTTCTGGCAAACTTTGAAGGAAGAGGAAAAGAAGAACAACCCCATTACCTAACCTGCAGGTATAAAGCAGATCTCAGACAAATCCCCTAAGGGGTTTCTCAGGAGATGAGAAAAATCATTTCTTTTCCATGGGAGTGATGCAAGCCTAGTTTCTCCTTGTTGGACCCTGGCAGGACTACTATTTTCAAGGGGGCAAAATATGAGTGTTTCTGATTGAAATTTCCCCTCTCAAAGATCCATAATTCCCTTATCACTGAAATCTTAAACAATGACCGTGAGACAAATCAATGGTCCAATAAATGAAAAAAATACAATAAAATAGAAAGCCATCTAAGGGGCCACGCTAGTCTGAATTCCAATACAGGTAAATTTATAACACAGTAATCTTGGAAACATTTCCCATAATAAATATGTTTAACACATCATTTTCTTATTACAGACATGTATTTTTTTCTTGGAAAAGACAAGTATATTTTACACTCCTCATACATAGATGTATGAGAAATAATGGGATCTGGATATTAGTTAGAAAAATGACCTGGTTAGACAAATAACTTGGAGAAGGAAATGGCAACCCACTCCAGTTTTCTTTCCTTGAAATCCCATGAACAGAGGAGCCTGGAGGGCTGCAGTCCATCATGGGGTTGCAAAAACGTAGGACATGACTGAGTGAGTAACTATGCAGCAACAGAAACAGAGGAATGGCTAGTCATCAAAGTTTTGATAGTAGAGACAGTTCCTATGACGATTAAAGTATCATTTTCCAAACTAGGAAAAAAATTAGAGATTGCCATTAGAAATAAATATTATAGGCTGCTTAGATTATAAAAGCACACAGGAGGAAAATAAGAAGCAGTTGTTTTGGTTCTTATGATCTGTACCATCCAATATTGTAGCCAATGGTCACGCTACTTAATTTCAAATTCAAATCAGTGGAAATTAAATAAAGCTTAGTTCTCAATTGTCTTAGCTACATTTCAAGTGTTCGATAACCACAAGTGGCTGTGTTTGGAGATTTAGAACATTTAAAACTTGGTATAAAGTTCTATCTTACTTTATGTGGTCAATTTATCATTTCCTCCACTGACATCTATTGGCATAAATATTAATCTGGTTTCCAGAAGTGTAGGACTTTTTCCTCCAGTGAGGTTTATATACTAGGAAGGTCAAGCTTCCTATTTAGCTTCAAGCATGTTTCCTTCTCATCTTGTGATTGCCAAGGACCAGGTTTGATGGAAAACCTCATGATAGCACTAGCTCAACATTTTACAAAGCTACTTGAAACAATTACAGAACACACTGTCATATTTTAAATTGCATTCCAGTCAATGGACAATATGACCTTTGGCACACTGCTTTTGCCCTTTACTATGGATTCGAAAGTACCTTCATTGATGGTGTTGGTTTTAAAATGGATATTTTCAAAGAAAGCCATCTCAAAAGTAAGATGCATGTCTATATAGCATAATGAGGAAGGAAAAAAAAAGGCAGAGTTTGTTTTAAAAATTACTCAATTAGACAAACAAACGACAATTCAACAGAAGTACAGGCATGGTTCTCAGCAATTCCTTCAAAAAAGATGGTATACAGACTACCAGTAAGGATAACCTCTTTAAAAACTTGAAAAATATTCATTATTTTTCAAACATTTTAATTAATAAGCTTTGCTGTGTTAGTACACTTAACAATAATCATTTCCCAAATCCTCTACTAAAGGTATTCTTAGTGAATTCTTACGCATGTGTTTGTGTAAAATGTAAATATATATTTAAAACATATGACCAACTTTATATGCTTTTTATGTAAAGATACATGGCAATTCAATGTCAGAGAAAGCAACTAAAATAATTCAAAATAATGAAATTACTAATTAAATGAAGATGGCAAAAATCCACCAATTTCCACAGCACGTTACTTACAGTAAGAACAGCCATAGACCTCGATCCTGAGCCCAATGCGGCCTTCTCCATTCCAATCCAGAGGCACGAAGCGGACATAGCGGGCAATGACTGGATGCTGTAAATCGTGCCGGACAACACTATCGGAGTTGACGTTCCCAGGAAATGCCTGGCAAAAAAAAAAGAGACATTTGAAAATGAGGGGAAAATACTGTGAAAAACATCATGTACTCTATGTGCTAATATAAACTTAAACTGTGTTTGCAATGGAGGTATTTTATACTCTCCAAACCATAAACAAACCAAAAAAAGCTTCCATACTTTCTTTATTTGAAAAACAGGACCAATTTTAAATGTGAGCTAAGGCAAAGTTTCCATGGGTTCTTTCATATATGGAAATGCATACACATTAAAAGAATGAAACACTCTGACATACACTGTGGTATCCAGTAAACAATTATGAGTTCTGTCATTTTACATTTAAACTATGCAGTATGCATTTTTTAAAACACCTTCCAACCATATTTCTTGCTTTTTAAAAATTTTCTCTACAAGACTACCCATGCCATCATCAGAAATCTGAAAAAAATTTTCAACATTGAATTCGGCAAAAAGAACAATTGAATACACTGTGCAAAGGTCAGGGACTTCTACATTTTATTAGCATAACTATATGTGAACATATTTATTTCATTTGTCTTATTAATAGAAGATTTTGTCAAGAATTATTTGCCACAATTCTTTTTATGTTGAAATTTCACATTGTCTATTTTTTTGGCAGAGAAAAAATGGAATTTCTTTGGGCATGGCCATCATTCCTCAGCAAACATTTATAAAACATTTACTGCATAATAAGCATAAAACAAAGTAATATGGGGAAGCAAGAAGTAAGGAAAGCAATAGATGCTGCACTCAAAAAGAGTGTGCAATCTAATAACAGGAAAAATATCAATATAAAGTTATAATTTAAAGTAAGGAAGATTTAAAGCAAGAGACCATTATATTTTAGAATATGTCAAATAAATGAGAAATACACGTGTAAGCTACTTAAAATAGGTTTTGTTGTTGTTGTTTAGTTTCCAAATTGTGTCTGACTTTGTGACCTCATGCCCTTAGCCCACCAGGCTCCATTGTCCATGGGATCTCCCAAATCAGAACACTGGAGTGAGTGGCCTTTTCCTTCTCCATGAGCTGTTTTAATTTCATATACACATTCTAGCTGTCCCTATCTTAAATAACTTGAGTTTTTGGAAAGCTATATTCCACATGAGATTCTCTTTTATATTTTTAAAATAATCTCTTAAACATTGAAATAAAAAATTTAGAAAGAACACTGAACATTTTAAGTCATAACATGATACAACATAAGCACTATATTACATGGCTAATCTGTTGCATTCTTAACTGATATTTTGAATTTGTTTCTATATTAAATCAGGAGTTTTATCTCTTTTAAATGTATCTTTTACAACAACTTTTAAAAGATAGAATTATTATGAAGCAAGTAAAGAGATACTTTCAATAAAGAGTATATAGTAGCTTTGAAACAGAAGGCTCTGGTTTAATTACACAAATCAGTTCAGTTCAGTCGCTCAATCATGTCCGACTCTTTGTGACCCCATGAATCGCAACACACCAGGCCTCCCTGTCCATCACCAACTCCAGAAGTCTACCCAAACCCATGTCCATCAAGTCGGTGATGCCATCCAGCCATCTCATCCTCTGTCGTTCCCTTCTCCTCCTGCCCCCAATCCCTCCCAGCATCAGGGTCCTTTCCAATGAGTCAACTCTTCGCATCAGGTGGCCAAAGTATTGGAGTTTCAGCTTCAACATCAGTCTTTCCAATGAACACTCAGGACTGATCTCCTTTAGGATGGACTGGTTGAATCTTCTTGCAGTCCACAATACATGTATGCAAAAAATGTATGTTGAAATATTTCCTCAAGATTTAAACTACTCTTTAGAACATTCAGTTGGCTCCAATAATCTGGAAAATGGATAATAGTCTGTGTCTCTGTGTGTGCGTGTTTGTGTGCGTGCACACGTGCTAGAGTTCAGTAGCATTCTACTATTTGCTACCCCATGGAACATGGCCTGCCAGGCTTCTCTGTCCATGGGATTTTTCCAGGCAAAAATACTGGAGTGGGTTGCCATTTCCTTGTCCGGGGGTCTTCCTGACCCACGGATGGAACCTGTGTCTCCTGCATTGCAGGTGGATTCCTTCTCAGCTGAGTCACCAGGGAAGTCCTATAGCATATACAATTAGTCTATAGTCTATAACATACACAATTGTATGCTTTGGAAACTGAGATATTCTTCAATAATGATTCCTACTGTGTTCTCCTTGGTTTTCCTGAAGCCATGGTGTTGGCTAAAAAGTTCATTCAGGTTTTAATCATTCATAAGATTTTATTGAAAACATCCAAAATACAAGCTTTTTGGCCATACCAATACATACTACCACTGCCTTTCAAAATAGCCACATTCTCTTCAATTCTTCATTGGACAAAACTATTTGAGCTTTATATCTTAAATTTCATCATATAAATAGACATCTTCTTTGCATCGTGCTGACGACATTTGATCAAGGAAAACAGATTTCTTTTTCTTTGTAGGTATTTTTCTAGCCAACTTTTAGTTTTACATAAAAGCCACAAATTTATTTTAATAAACTGTGGCTGCATTTTACTATCATTATTGGTTGTCCTGGCTTCAAAAGCAATACCAGTGAGAATCCCTGAATTAATTCCCTGAGTGCATATAGATTAATCTAAATATTATCTTAAATAAGATTCAAGAAAAGCCAGCAAACAAATTTAACTTAAGGATCAACTTTATGCTTAACATATATAGCTATAAGCTTCTCTGGTGGCTCAGATAGTAAAGAGTCCGCCTGAAATGTGGGAGACCCGGGTTTGATCCCTGAGTTGGGAAAATCCCCCGGAGAAGGGAACGGAAACCCACTCCAGTATTCTTGCCTGGAGAATCCCATGGACAGAGGGGCCTGGCGGGCTAGCGTCCATGAGGTCACAAGGAGTCAGGCACAACTGAGTGACTCACACACACACACACACACATGATTAACATGGTGCTGAGTGGTATACGAATATTAAAAACAACACAGACAGCAAGTAACTTCCTTAGAAATCTGTTTCTGAGACATTTCTAGTCTGATGAAGCCTAAAAAAAGAAAAAAAAAATTGTTCTCCTGTTTTTCCTAATACTTCATTTCTGACACCAGACATATGGGTTTTCCTGCATGCCAGGCCATTCTCTGTGGACACCAGCCAGCGTTCCATAGCTTAACTCAATTCTAACACTATCTACCTGGAGGTAGAGTCAGATCCCACGGGTGAAGGGCTGAGTCCCACAAGACCACCCCACTTCTGATGCCAATCTCCAGCCCAGTCAGTCACCCGTGCTTCTGAAAGACCATATGTCAGAGGTCCCCATGACCCCCTCCTTAGGTTCAACTGCTTGCTGAACAGCTCACAGAACACAGGAAAACAGTTTACCAACTAGATGACTGGTGTATGCTGAAGGATTCAACTCAGGAACAGATGGAAGAGATGCATAGAGCAAGGTGGGTGAGAAGGGCTGCAGGCCTGCTCCAGGTGTAGCACCCTCCTAGCACCTCATTTATTCACCAACCGTTCTGAATTCCTGAAATTCTAGATTTTTATTGCAGCTACTGTGTGCATGTGTGATGATCAAATCTTTGGCCATTGGTGACTGAACTCAATCTCCTGCCCTGCTCTCCTTCTCAGAGGTCAGAATGAGGTTGAAAGTTTCAACTCTCTCATCAAATCACATGATTGGTTTCATCTTAAGATTATCAAGGGGGTTTTCAAAAATAACCTCATTGACATAAACTCAGGTGTGGGTTGAAAGGAATTTGTTATGAATAACAAAAGACACCCATTTCAGCTTTATCACACTTATCACTTAAGAAATCCCAGGAGTTTCAGAAGCTGTGTGACAGACAGCATAAATAAAGAAAAAAATATATATTTCTCACTATAAATCCTGATATCACAGGCCTAAGATAAAATATGAAGAAAAAGTTGCAAAAGGCATCATTAAAATGAAGTATAGAAGTAGCTGTGAAAAGAAGAGAAGCGAAAAGCAAAGGAGAAAAGGATAGATATACCTATTTGAATGCAGAGTTCCAAAGAATAGCAAAGAGAGATAAAAAAAACCTTCCTCAGCAATCAATGAAAAGAAATAGAGGAAAACAATAGAATGGGAAAGACTAGAGATGTCTTCAAGAAAATCAGAGATACAAGGGAACATTTCATGCAGAGATGGGCTCAATAAAGGGCAGAAATGGTATGGACCTAACAGAAGCAGAAGATATTAAGAAGAGGTGGCAAGAATACACAGAAGAACTGTACAAAAAAGATCTTCATGACCCAGATAATCATGATGGTGTGATCACTCAGACTCACCTAGAGCCAGACATCCTGGAATTTGAAGTCAAGTGGGCCTTAGGAAGCATCACTATGAACAAAACTAGTGGAGGTGATGAAATTCCAGTTGAGCTATTTCAAATCCCAAAAGATGATGCTGTTAAAGTGCTGCACTCAATATGCCAACAAATTTGGAAAACTCAGCAGTGGCCACAGGACTGGAAAAGGTCAGTTTTCATTCCATTCCCAAAGAATGCTCAAACTAACCACAATTGCATTCATCTCGCATGCTAGTAATGCTCAAAATTCTCCAAGACAGGCTTCAGGAATATGTGAACCATAAACTTCCAGATGTTCAAGCTGGTTTAAGAAAAGGCAGAGGAACCAGAGATCAAATTGCCAACATTCACTGGATCATCAAAAAAGCAAGAGAATTCCAGAAAAACATCTATTTCTGCTTTATTGGTTATGCCAAAGCTTTTGACTGTATGGATCACAATAAACTGTGGAAAATTCTGAAAGAGATGGGAATATCACACAATCTGATCTGCCTCTTGAGAAACCTGTATGCAGGTCAGGAAGCAACAGTTAGAATTGGACATGGACCAACAGACTGGTTCCAAATAGGAAAAGGAGCACGTCAAGGCTCTATATTGTCACCCTGCTTATTTAACTTATATGAAGAGTACATCATGTAAAATGCTGGACTGGAAGAAGCACAAGCCGGAATCAAGATTGCCGGGAGAAACATCAATAACCT